GTGAACTCTTCTGACAAGGCTTCAAACTGTTCTCTGGTTGATCTTTCAATTGCTCTTCTTTGGGTTTGGTTTCTGCAGTTGTTCAACACTTTAGCTGCCTCTTTCCCTTGCAGTGTGTGGCTGAGATGTCTCTCCCTTTCAGCTCCCACTTGGAGATCCTCCTGGCAGGCGAATTGCCGGCGAGGATCCGCGCAGCCTCCGCCGTGGGCCGGCAGCAGGCTGTGCTTGCAGCCCTTCCTGTACAGAGCCTCTCAGCTGATAAGCTATTTCTGTGTAGTGCCCATTCCTCTTTTGCCAGTGTACTGTGGTAGCACTCGACAGCCGTGCCCTCGGAGCAATTCCACACTCCTGGGCTTGACTGGGATGTGCCCTCCTCTGACACACACGTGTGTGTGTGCGCACAGGTACAGACACACACTCATCCTGCTCAGCAAGGAAAGACTTGTAACTGATCACGTTGTCGTTCAAATTCTTAGTTGTTTTAAAGCCTTTTTTTTTCTTAAAGGAGAAAAAAAAAACGAGAAAGGATTAATTGTGGTCTCTGTGGCCAGAACGCATGCAGATGAGCTACTGGAAAAGGGAATTTGGCAGAATGAGAAACAAGGAATGAAAGGGCCTTGATTTATAATTTTTTTTTTCACCCTTCTAGTTAAGGATGCTGCATGGGGAGTGCATGGGTGCTCAGCAGTGTGGCAAGGTTATACAGCTGCTTAGTCTGTTTTGATAGTTTCTCTCTTCAAGTTAAGAGGTTTCTTTCTGTATTTGGTCAGACCACATACAGGATATTCATCTTTTTCACCCTTTCCCTTCAAAGGGAAGTTAATTTGGACTAGGGTAAGAAGAGGGCACAGCCAACACCTTGGTTTGCTTTAATGTAGGGGAAAAAGTGTTGAATCTTGAGTCTGCTTAGAACAAAAGCTCTTTCACACTTGCTGGTGTTTTTTAGTGGTGAGCCCTTCTTCATTCAGCCTGGGTAGGTTTGGCACTTGCCAGCAGGCTGCTGAGCATCCTGCCCTGTTCCTGGGGTGCTGCGTGTCTGCAGGAAGGAGAGAACTGCTTGCTTTTCTCTCTCTCTGGGGCTCTGCCAGAAAGCCAGGCCTGGCCTGACCCTCTGCTCAGGTCAGGGTGAGGGCAGAAGGAGGCTCAGACAGCAGTGGGTGTTCCTGCCCTGTCTGTGGATGGCTGTGCAGAGCTGAGGGTCAGCACAGAGCCCCTGCTCCTCCCCAGGGGCCAGCGAAGCCCCTCAGGGAAATCAGATCCAACTGGGACTTGAAAGGAGCAAACATAAGCCAGGAAAGAGGCCAAAACACAGCTCACTTCTGCTGCTTTGCTTCTGTTCCCATGAAAAACAATGGCAGTCACTGTCAGAGCAGTTGGGATCCCAGGGCATTCTTCTGGCCTCCACTGGCAGGAATCAGCTACTCCGAGACACTGGCAGCTCGGCATGTCACGAAATCCCCAGTGAGGCAGAGGGAGGAATCTCTTCCCAGCAGAGCAAGAGGAGAAGCAGTTGAGCTTTTTGGAAAGCTGGTCTCATCTCCCCAGGCTGGCAGAGGCATAACCTGCTCCATCGCATCCCTGTGGCCAACCTGGGGCACATCTTTGGCTTCTCTTCCCCTGGCTTGGCACATCACTGCTTGCATTTTTGATGGCTGTGTCTCATAGGATATCTCTTCCTTGTCTCTGTGTTATTATTGACGTCACAGATCCTGGTCTTCATGTGGCTTTTTAGCTCTCCTACCCCTGATTCTGGATGAGAAAGCAGTCCTGGTCATCCAGCCTGACGAGGGCTGGAGCACCCAGAGCAGACCCCGAGGGAGGAAGAGCAGTCTGTTCCTATTTCTAGATCCCACGCAGTGCTCCTGCTGCATGAGCAATGCCCGGTGGTCCCTGGCTGGCCGTGGGCATCCGAGGTGGTGGTGGCCATGGGGTCACTGGTCCCACACACTCTCCTCTGCCTCGGGAAGCTGCGTCTCGTGAGCACTTTTTTCCTTCTGGCCTCAGTGCCGCCTGTTCCTTGTTGGACTTTGAACATTTAAGAAGTGAATCCGTTTCCAGACCCAAACCGCTGGCTAGTTTCCTTTGGGTTTTTCTCTTTTTTTTTTTTTTTTTTTTTTTGTGAAGTTTATGGAATTTTTTTTTTATATAAACCCAGCAGGCTGGTGTTTTTTTTTGACTGCATTATTGTTTCACTGATATTTTATTTCAGGGGGGCTGAGGGGGGGGGTGATGTTCTTCCCCACATTGTTCCCCTTCTAAGGGGATTCAGAGGTGGCTTAAACAAGTAAAAGGACCTTATTGGCAAGACTCTGCATCCCCTGGGTCTCTGATGCTGATGAGCAGGGCTGCTCATGCCTGGCTGGCTCTGGAGGGCAGAGCTGGCTCTCTGCTCCAGTCTGGGGGGCCATGCAAAATGTGTGGGCTCTGCTCTCCCAGTTTCTGGACCTTTAGCTGGTGGAAGCCCATTGCAAAGTGTTAGGAAATTCAATGTAACTTTTTTACTAACTTTTCTTTTTTTAAAACCGGTATAAAACTGAGTGAATGTCCAAAAGAATAGGCTTAGCCGTGACTTGGTGAAGGAGATGGGTTTCAGTTGGAAATTGTGATTGGAAAAAGGGGGAGAAGGATGTTGCTCCTCCATCATCTCCTGTATGGTCAGCACCTTAAGCAGGGGCCTCATGCTGTCCTGACCCTTGGAGTGATGGGCAGCAGGCGTGTGATTTCTCCCTCCCCCCTCATTGCCACATCACTTCACCCCCTGCAGAAAGTTAACAAGCCCTTTTAAACATTTGCTTCAGTTTTTAGAGGGTTCCGAACCAGGCCGAGACCTGAAGAAATAGGTATTTCATTCTCATCTGAATAGGAGGGGTTGACTTTTTTTTTTTTTTTTAATTTATTTTGTCGTTGCTGTTTTCTTTTTAAACCGGTGGCAGTGCAGCTGGGCTCTGCACCGCTGCCAGGATCCTCTGGGAAAACCTCACTCCAGGTACGCTAGAGCACCTCGGATAAACCCCCTCCTGGCGAGGGGCCCCCTCCCCTCCTCACTGCCTTACCTGGGGGCTGCAGACCCCCCTCTGCCCCTCCTGCCCCATCCCTGCTGCCCCACCTGGTCTCTAGCTGAGTTCTTGCTCTGGTGACTGAGCCCTGTGGACAAGGCCAGTCCCCAGGGACAGGTTCCTACAAACACTGCCTGGTCGCAGCTGTTTGTCCTTTGAAAAGCCACTTCCTCGCTGTGTGTGGGGGTTGATGAGTGCGGAATTCCCCCCCCACTCCCCTCCTGAGAGCTGTGTTCATCAGCCCCCCCACCCCATGCCATCCGAGCCCACTGCCCTCCACAGTCGCCCCCACCCCGTGGGGGACATGGAAACCTGGGAAATGAAAAGGAATTTGGGTGAAGCTCCGAGCGAGAGGTGCGGCTGAGCCTCGTGACCTGCCTCAAACACAAGGAGTTTGAGAGAGCCCATATTTTTGTGGGGGGAGGGGGGAAAAGAAGGGGGAGATGGTGTTTTATTTTCTTGAAAGTGAATTGAGCTCGGTGACCTTCGGCTGAGGCGCGCACTCAATTTGTATCAGATTCTATAAGAGAGATGGCTGATATTTTTGGAAAGGGAATGGGTCTATGCAAACTTCCAAAATTGCTTGAAAAGATAGTTTAACATTTTTTTTACTTTGAAATCTAAAGATGAATCTAACTTTTTTCTTAAAGCAGAAGTGCGTTTAGAAAGAGAAGCTACTTCCACTGCTCTATTTTGATGATGATTCTTGGAAAGTTTGGGCTGGAGGGAATGACTATTTTTCACCATTTTTATCTTGCTCCTCTAGTTTTTTTGTTTCTTTTTTTCTAACGGAATGCTGTGCCGTCTTTGATTCAACAGATTGTGTTTGTATTTTCTGTATCTGGTTCCTAACGTAGAGAAATAACAAATATATGAGGAAATCAATATAATGTCAAATGTTGTTATGGTTTTGGGGGAAAAAAAAAAAATAAAGGTTTTTGGTACTTCACACTGATTGTCCTTGCTCTGTTTCTTGTTTTTAAATGCATTTAAATGTCTGCTGAGGAAGCAGGAGGTTGAGAAGGGCGTGCTGGGGCTTGGAATAGGATTTGGCTTTGCCTTCTAGGATTGCTTTGGCAGCTGGGAGCAGAGATCCCTGCCAGCCCTTCTCTGCAGATGGAGAGGGGAGCTGGCAGCACAGCTCTAGTCCCGTGGAAGCAGCAATCCCAGGGAAAGGTGACCTGGCCGAGTTGCCAGCAAGTGTCCCTTGTTCCTGAATGCCGTGTCCCAGCCAGGTTCTGTTCGATCTCCCCTGTCCTGCTCTGCTCCCAGGCTGGGCCAGGGGAAGGAACCACAGCCCTGCAGGCTCCAGGAAACGGAGTGGAGTTCTCTGGGTTCTCGTGGCTTGTGCCAGAGCCGCCCCTCTGCCACCCCGGGCTGGCCATCCCCCTAAAGGAGGGCGAGCCAACTTCAGTGCCCAGATACTGCTGATGTGGGACAAGGCTGGAGGGGACCAGGGCCCTGCCAGGAAAGGCTTTGCCCTTTGCACCTGCCCAAACCCTCAGCTGCACCTTTTGAGCCCCGAGCAGGGTCTTCCCCTTTCCCTCGTTTCGGGTAGGGAAGGCAGCCGATCCCATCCCTTCTGTCCCTTGGCGGCTGCGTTTCGCTTTTCCCTGCGGGTGTGTTTGGAGGAACGGCCGGGGCGCAGGGTGTCAGTGTCCCCCGGGATGCACCCTGTTCACGAAGGAGGCTCATCCCCAGGCACCGGGGAGCTCGGAGCTGTGGAAGGGACCTGAGTCGCGCAGGAGGGACAGGGAAGGCGGGAGCGCTGCCGGCCCATCAGGCGTTATCCCCCTGCCAGGCTCGGGTAATCCCTGAATTCCCTGGATTTGGGGGCGTTCCCTGGATTTGGGGGGCTGATGGAGGCGGGGGCGGGGCCTCCCACACGCCCCGCCCAGCGCCGCGCGCCCCCAGCCGCCCCCGCTGATTGGTCACCGCCGGGCGCGGGACGGGCGGGGCTGTCGGACCGCGCGCTGATTGGTGGGCGCTCCGGAAGGGGCGGTGCCGGCGGGGAGCTGCCGGGGCGCCATGGTGAGTGCGGGCAGGGCCGCGGCGGCGTGAGGGGGGACCGGCACCCCGGGGCTCCTCCGCCCGCACCCGGGGCTCCTCCTGCGCCCACACCCTCCCTGCTCGGCGCGAGACCACGGGAGGCTTGAGCTGATTCGCGGCCGGGAGCCCGCGCGGGGTCCCCATGGCTGCCGCCCCCGCGGAGAGCCCGGGCCTGGCCGCCTCCCGAGGCCGGCGGGGTCGGTGCTTGGGTGGCCCGGGACGGGGACGCGGGATGTGAGCTGGCTCGGGAGACTCCCAGTTACAGGGGCCAGGCGGCCCCTGCAGCCCCCGCTAGGTTGTCCCACCGCAGCGGCCTCGGACCCACGGTGTCCCATCCCCTCGGTGTCCCGGCCGCAGGTTGTCCCGTCCCCGAGGTGTCCCGGCCCCCCGGTGACATAACAAAGGTCGGCGGCTCCTGCACAGGCGCTGATCCCACTCTAACTCCCTTTCTCCCTTCGCAGGCCACAGCGACGGACCAGCTGGTTGGGTTCGGCTTGGTCGCCTTCAGCCTCGTCCTGTTTGTTTACTACACCCTCTGGATCATCGTGCTGGTACGGGTCTCCTCTGGACATTATAACACAGTCACTCCACACTCAGGTGGTTCCCTGGCCTGGAGCTGTGTCAGTGTCCTGGCAGTCCTGGAGCCATGTCGGTGTTCCTGGCAGTCCTGGAGCCGTGTCAGTGCTCCTGGCAGTCCTGGAACCATGTCGGTGTTCCTGGCAGTCCTGGAACCCTGTTGGTGCTCCTGGCAGTCCTGGAGCTGCTCCCGGCAGTCCCGGAGCTGTAGATGCGTTCACTGCTATGTGGGAATCCTCACACTGCTCTCTAGTGTCCAGAGCCTTCCACTGATGGATCCTGGCGGGATCACCACGGAGCAGAGCCATTGTCAGCTGCTCCCTTCTGCAGGGCAGAGAGACTGGGGATTTGCTGTGCTCTGCATCAGCAGCTGTGCCCACCCCGAGCCCCCGGGGCTGTGGGACCCCCTGTGCCAGCTCCAATAGCCCTGCCTCGTTGTCCTCTGAACACCAAAGCCTTTGCTGCCCGCCCACTGCAGCCCCTACAGCGCTGACAGAGCCACGTGTGGGTTGGGACACCCTGTTTTTAGCCACCTCACACTGATATTTCCGTCCTGCTCCCAAAATCTCGAGGTTGCAGGTGCTGGGGGCGTACCCTGGTGTTGTACCCACCTGCTGACTGCCCTCTCTGTCCCTGCAGCCCTTCATTGACAGCAACCATGGGATCCACCAGTACTTCCTGCCCCGGGAATACGCAGTTATCATCCCCGTGGTGGCTGGGCTGCTGCTGGTGCTACTTATAGGTGAGAGTTATTTCTGTTCTAATTAGAAACTTCTAAATTAGGAAGAGAGAAGAGGGTTGCTTGGGGCTTAGCTAATGTGTGACACTCGTGACACTCTGGCTGCTGCCACAGCTTAGCCTGGCACAGGAACTCAGGGGTGTGTTTGTGTGTGGCTTTGGCTGTTTGAACCTCTGGGCAGTGGAATTTTCTTGCTCTCTCAGCTGAGGCTCTGTTTCTCACTACCAGAAGTGCCTGGAACTACAAGTTTTCTGGCTGAATGTGTTCTCTCTCTCTCATGGCAGGTGTTTTTATAATGATCGTGATGTGGAAGAGCAGGAAACCTGCCAAGAAATCGGACTGAAGGCCCGGCTGAGATGAGGAGAAGGTGCCCACCCTGTGGCATCGTAGCCAGGAAAAGACTTTTCCTGCAGCTCTGGGCAGACGCCTCCTCCAGGGCACCCAAGCTGCTCCCACGTTCCTTCCAGCAGAGACTAAACCACCTGTAGTTTACAACTTACCGACCAAAGGGAAGCAGGACTCATCCAAAGCTCATCAAGAGAGGGACCAGAGCCCTGCTGAGGGACCTGCTCCACAGCTGGGGCTGCCCTGCCCGGCCTCTGGACACTCCTTCCCCTCTGCTCTGGCCCTGCCCAGTAGTTTGTTCCTTCTCGGATTTTTTAAACGTTTACATACAGTTCGTGGGGGTTTTTGGATTCAAATTTGAGAGGAAAGAAATGAGACTTTGGGCTTGAGAAGGACAGGTTTGCATTCTTCATTTGCTTCTGGCAGGGCTAATCATGGTGCTGGGGGCTCTTGCCTTTCAGAAGAGGGGCCCCCGTGAGGCTGGGTGTGCAGAGGATGCAGGGACAGCGCTGCCCTGTGCATATCCCCCCCTGCAGTCACCTGGCTGAGAGGGTGCCAAGGAGATGTCCTGGATCACAGGGAATTGTTTGGGTGTAGTTCCTATCACAGCTGTCAGTGCTGGCTGGGTTCCTGCCCTGAACAAGGCTCCACGTGGGGATGGGGATGAGCAGGCAGGTATGGTGGCACCATCCTTCCCCTTTGTGATTTCCTCCCCTGGCAGCTCCCCTGGACCACAGCCAGCAGGATCACCCTCAATAAAGGTCTGCAAGGTCTTAGTCCCTGTCCTCTGCCCGTGCCAAGGGATGCCACAGGATGGGTTCAGCTGCATGGCCCTGGCAGTGCCCGACACCCTGCTGGTAAGGCCCTGCTGGTGGGGTCAGGCAGGGAAACACCAGAGAGAAGCTGGCCCAGGCCAGGCCAGGTGTACCCAGCCTTGTGCTGGGAGCAGGTTTGGGATGCTCTGACCCTTCTTGCGTGTACTAGGAATTTCTAGAGAGCAGCGTGTCCTGTCTCCCATCCTGCCAGGGGGTGATGCCGGTGGCTGGGGTGCCACAAGTCTTGGGCTGAACCTGGCTGCAGGAGTCACTGGGTGGTTCTCAGGTGAGGCTCTGGCTGGAGGTTTGTTTCCAGCTCTTGTAGAGGCTACCTGGCTGTGCCAGGCTGTTGCTCTTGCCTCCCTGAGGCCGAGTCCTCATCCCTTCATTCTCCTTTGCTGCTCTTTCTGATGAGGAATCCTCATTGTCCTTCCAGCCCCTCACCCATTGGTAGGGGGGGCTTGGGTGGGTTTGGGCTGGGGCAGGGGGAGGCAAAAGGGGGAAGAATTCAGTGGTGACTGAAGAGCTCCATGTCTCCTCCCCCTGGCACTGCTTCCTGTGCAGAAGCCCTGTGGTGTCCCTGTCAGTGTCCTTTCTTCCTCGCAGTCCAGGCCTGTGCAGGACAGAGTCAGGAGCGGTTTCAAGGTTACATCTCATGTTTCTTTATCAGCAGTGGGAGAAATTAAAGCCCGGTGTCCCATCCTGGGCTGGCTGCGACTTGCTCTGGGGACACATCTCTCGGGTACTGTGTGGTTTGACTGTGGCAAGAGGGGCTGTAGGTGACAGGTGGCCCCCAGGGCCATCAGATGGGGCCCGGGGCACCGAGGGGTCACCCGCCTCGGCCCCGCTCCTGAGCTATTCTGGATCCTTGTGCTCCCTGGGCTCACCAGGGTCCGGCGTGGTTGAGAGCTGGTGGTGCACGGAGCTGAGAGAGGAGCTGGGGACGGGGGGGGGCTGCAGGGACCCCCGGGCGGGAGTGGAGCCTGAGAGGGCAGAGCAGGAGTGGGGGAAG